GGGTGGAGTTATATATCTAATAGCCTAAGATGTTGCAAGATGCTGGTTAAAACTTGTTTGGGTGGTTTTATTTTGTTGTGTTGCAGCTTCAAATGGTTTCATTAGTTAGGCCTGAGAGCTGCGTATCTGTTAATCTTTGTCATGATACTTCAGCCTCATCCGGTCCTCTTGCATCAATATCTGTCACTGCTGGTATGTGCGGTCTAACAAGGATAGGAGACAAATGCAGACAGGCTGACTGGTAGCGCACAATGATTTATTGCTGCAGAGACGGTACAGGCCTATAGAATTGTGAGGCAGGCGAGTGTCAAAACCAGGAAGGTAGTAAAAAACGGGCAAACAAATCCAGAGGAACAAGCGCAGGAAGGCATGCAGGTGATAAGCAGGCAGCAGGTCCAAATTCAGATAAATGCAGAACAGGTAACCAAAGAAAAGGAACAAGTCAGAAACAAATACAAATGGCTGGGACTTAAAGGCATGAGGCGCATGGAAACAAGAGGAACAATGGATCTGGCCCGTTATATACAGTAGATAAGGTCAGAGGGCAAAGGTGTCTGGGAAAGTGGAAATCTGGCTGAAGAGGGACAGATAGGAGGAATGACACAATGACAGGCAGACATGGCGACGATATCCTTACCAAGTAATTCACCACCTTAAATCAGAGTTAATTATTTTTTACAGCCCATGAAGCATTTGCTCAAAATTAACATCTAGTACATTTCATTTATGTGTACAAATCTGGTACAAATGCTTAATGGGAGGGTTTAAATCTTTATTAATGCGTGAATTACCACTGTGTATACATTAAATGAATAAACACACTAAAAAGTAATGTAAATGCTTTATATGAAGGGCCACACTTGTTTATGAATGTATGTACGGAAATAGCTTTGATCCTGATATGTGTTTACAACCACATTATGGTGTTCTTCTTTTCCACCACTTAAATCATAAGAGCATTGTGTGTTATGTAATATAAAGTACAAAGTGACTGTAATAGGATCTCCACAAAGAGGAGGGGAAAACATGTCATTACGATGTTCCTGTCCTTCACAAACAGGACAGGGAGTTGAATGGAAAACCAGCAGGTGCTGAGTAACATCTTGCTGTTGTCGTGAGAAAGCCTCGTACCTCCAGTTTTGGTGATTTTCATATCTTAATTTTAAAGTGAAGGATTATGTTAAAGAAAAACTTACAAATTCTTGGGGCTTGGGACAACAGCATACTTTTGAAAATGCCTCAGTGGCCTTCAGTGTCAAAACAAGTGATTTAAAACCTGATGTTTGGGAGATGCGTGTTTTCAAGATTTTCTGACGGTGATAATATGAGCCAGAATGGGTGTGGTACTGTATTTGTACAGTGGAAAAACAGGATTTGAAAGAGGAGCAGGAATCAATGTTTCTGATTTTGGTGGGTGGAAAACTTGCTGAGACAGGCAGGATACCCAGCATGTTCAGTTCCTGTGGTGAGTCCACATCTGACAGAAGACTGTTCAGTAAAAATACAGCATTTACTTGTACAACGTGGCAACTGGATCATTAGGCCAAAGACTGGTGCGAATCAAAGGGGAAGTCACTTTGTTGACTGTATTGTGACTAACCATTTAGAAAGAATGCCCTTTGACATGCTTGATCCCTCAAACGTCACTATCCTTGAGTATTACTCACATGGCTTTGTTGTGATGTTTTGTTTAAAGGATAATGCTGGTTATAGTCTATATTTTTAGTCATGATAGCAGCGTGGCTCTAGGGATAGCAGTGCGGTTTAGGCAGTCCACCACTTTGGTCTATACTGGAATATCTTTACTCAATCAGAAGCGTTGATTCCTCCTCCTCTTTTAAACCCTGTTTTTCCACTGCACAAGTACAGTACCACACCCATTAAGACTCACACTGTATGTCACCACCATATTGTGCATCTCACAGACATCATGCTTTCTTGTTTGAACTTGTTCTGACACCAGTTTGACCAATCGGGCATTTTCAACTATCAGATTTTCTCAGAAAAAGGTTAAATAAGCCCAAAGAAATATAAGCTTGATCCTACCGGTAATTCTCAGAATTTTTCCTCTAATGCCAGATTGACTTCTGTGGTTTTGAGTGTCTTGTTTGAACATTTTAGCTGTCTCTGGTTTGTATTACATCAGAGATGCCTTTGTACACAATGTCTAATGGGTATAGCCTTGGCCAATACCTTTCAGCATTTGCAGCTTATCTGTGGTTCTGTCTTAAGCTCATTCATTCCAAGACATAAATCCTCAAAAACCATCACAAATACGGACTTTCAGGTTCAAAGAAGGTGCACTGTAGTGTTTAGCAAATATTAGTCAAACTGGACTAAATTTTGTTTTTGTGGCTGTGGATTTATCATAGTAATGATTACTGCACCAATGGTCATATACTGCAACAGTGTGGCTCAGAGATGTGTTTTTGTAGTTTTCTGGCAAAAATGACTTATTAGTAGGATCCATTCATTGATGGTTTTGGTCTTTTCTCTGGATTTTTTGACAATAATAAAAATGTAGAATATCAACAGAATTATCTTTTAAATCAAAAGTGTTTAGTCCATTGACAAATGGACATAGCTCCAATGTAAAAAAAAACACCATAAGGGGCTGGGTTATGGTTGATGAATACAATTACCACTTTTGTCGAGCTTTCTCTGAGAAAATCAGCAAACCCCTCCTCTCTGTTAATACACTATCTGTCCACATAAGTTAGATTAATTATTATGATGATAAGTGCATATCCGGTTTATGTCCATGTTTTTGTCTTCCTATACATTGAAGTGAACTGTAAAATCAGATTACAGTAACTTGTTATTTCTTTTCAATTAGGCACAAGAAACCGTCTTTTCTAATCCCCAAAAGGCACAGTTCAAGCCTCTGGCACGACAGCAGACCAGGGTACAATGAAACAGTGGAACCACATTTCATTATGGGCCTTTTCTCTGTACTGGTCCACACCCCTGCAGGGATAAAGGCTCTGCCCTTCACTTCACTGCTGCCATGACTGTGAATGCAACCATTGAGTCTGTCCTTTATGGAACAAAAACTACTACTTTGTAAAATGTGGACATGTGCTTCAAGGTAATTATTTTCTTTGTAAAATCTTCTTTCAGATCTGGTAGTTACAGTTTAATATAAAAACGTTTTTGAGCAATGGCTGCATTAACCAATTCAGCTTTCTCAAATCAAATGAATGGTTAACAAACTTGTACAGGCTTTTGCTCTGCTGGCTCAGTGAGCCGACTCAGTTACACATTCAAGGACAAAAATATTTTGATCACTTCCCTAAGAATTTGTATAGTTCACTTATGGCAGGTACTGTACTGGTTTCTTGTCTCATGAAAAGAAGGTTTCCCCAGAACAATAGACAATGACGAAAAAAGTCAGGAGGCGAAGAATGCAGCTGATTGTATCTTTCATTCGGCAAACTCAACCACATTGTATGCCTCTTGAATCACCGTTTTCAAGTCTTTTCTAACAGAACAGGACATTAGTAACAAGGAAACTGTTTCAAAACCTCTAAGCTAAATACTGCAATTCTGTAAAACAATAATAAGACATGAAGGCAATGTTAAAGTGTTTATTCCTGTTTATAATATAAATAATGTATAAAATAGTCATAGTATAATGCCAACTATTTACAATCGTTAAAATAGAGAAAAATACAAAATACATTTACAAAAAGTGCTTTTCATCATTGAATGTTGATTTAAATTATACTTTTAGATTTGATTATCTGCCATTTGAAGCGCAATAACATTAAATTGAGCTCTCTTTTTCCCCCCAATTAACTCAGAAAGGCACTGCTACAGTTAGTTGAGGCACATCCCTCCTGGGTCACAGATGCTCTTTAGGGTTAGATAGGAAAGGGTCCATTTGCAGAGCTAGAGTTGACGAGAAAAAAAGAGAACACTGTTTAGGTTGATCTTCATTCCCACAGTGGTACGAAACAGAAAAATAACACACCATGCTTTTTTGTCTTCATTTGTAATATCTTTTTCATTTCCCCACTTAAAAACTGTATGTTAGCTTTTTTCTGAGACGTAAACCGAACAAGTTAACAATTCTTCAATATGATTTTTAGAAGTATTTTGGTTGTTTTGGCAAAAGCTCTTTATAAAAGTAAATACACATGAATTGACAGGTACCTTAGTGAGGCAGGCAATCTAAAGATTTTGGAACTGTAATAACTCCGGCTTCAGGTCTTCTCTGGTGTCATATGAGCTACAGTGTCATCAAATAAGGAATTTGGGTCAGAATTGTTCAGTTATGTTATTTGTATGTTAAAATGTTAATAGTTCACCAAATGGTGTTTTATTGCATACTTAATTAGCATGCTGCAATGTTAGTGTTAGTCATTGCAACTTTGAGAGAATAATGAGGTTTTGTAAAGTAAGCTTTAACACTGGCTTAGAGATTAATGTTTAAGTAAAGTTTCCCAGTGTGAAGCCGGGCTATTTGATTTATCTGGATAAATATCAAGTTGCTGTTTTGCAGTTAAACACTTTAAATGTCTTAGTCTCTGGACATTTTATGTGAAATTCAGGTCACATGAATGTCAACAAAAAGGCTGACATGTCCCTGTTTCTGCATTGTTTTGACACATTCCTGTACATTTATTGAACTGATTTATTCTGGCCAGAGGGGAATTTTTGTTTACCCCTAATTCAAAAATTTCACAGCTTTTTTGTTTTTTATTAAAGGATTTCCTGTTAACTTCCCTCATTCCTCAGCACACATTTCCGGAATCTAGATTTCCTCAGAGAGCTAAAAAAGCACAGGGAAGAATCTGAACCTGCTGCAAAGTTAGCTACTAGTTAGTTACTGCATATCTCTTTGCTGCATGCTGTATTATTTACAGAAATATGTGCAAAAACTGACCTGTGCCTGTTATTATGCATTTAAGAGCAGAAAGTGCGAAGAGAAATTGCATCAGAAGGGGAAAAAAAGCATGATCAAGTATTAGCCATGCATTAAAAAGTGAAGAGTGAAATATTGGATCTTACCCTTTCCTCTTCAGAACAAACTTGTGTAAAAATAGAACAACTATCAGAACAGCTGTAAAGAAAATAGTTAATTAATGTAGTATGTGTTGTATGTATTTTGTATTTCAACTGCAAAAAAGTCCAAAGAGAAAAAAGGTTTTACCTATTGAAATGGATACCACACTGATGATAACAGGTATATATCCTGAAGGAAAAATGCAAAGTTTATAAATGCAGAGCATAAATATTCACCCATGTTAACATCTTTATTGGGCTCAATAACTCACCATTATCCTGGTTAGCCACATCATTCTTTTCTGTAAGCACAGAACAGTTTTATTAGTATGCAAACCATTAAAACTGGACACAAGGCTGCTTCAGAAACATTATCAACACATACAAGAAGACACAGACAGAGCATCTCATTTACTAATTTAAAGCCACTGTGTGTACAGTTTTTAGGCGATTACGGCATCTGTCGAAATTATTTTTCTCCTATATGTCTTTGTATGTCAGAAAAGTTGTATGCATTGCATTGAGCCTATTCATCTAAGTGTCCATGTTGGATCAGTGAGGGGGAAGAAAATCAAAAACAATATATGAACTGGGACAGGGACTGTGGGAGGGAGACATGTCTGAGAATATTAACATTATTATCCTGTTTGCAAACAATAACAAGGCAAACTTAAAGCCATAAATTACAGTGTTAATGGAATAGTCTGACATTTTGGGAAATATGTATATTCACTGTCTGGTGGAGAGTTAAATGAGAAGATTCATACAACTCTCATATGTGTCTGTTAAATATAAAGCAGAAAAAAAGTGTAAAAACACAATTTACCATTTTATATCTTGGCTGTGAGCAGTAGCCTCCCAGAGTCTCAGTTGGTTGCCTGGCAACTGTTCAGAGCCAAGAAATAGCCTTGCGGATTAACCCCCCCCCCATAAAACAGCAAGTTTCAGTTCATCCCCAACTCTCTGCCATTTCCCAATATGCTCAACTATTTTTAAGTTAACTTTGTTAGTTCAGGTATTCCAGGAAATCTAAAAAGGCGACAAAAGAACGAAGAATTCTATTCAGTGAGCTACGAGCTTGTGTAAGCTCTGCCCAGTCTGATGGTTTAGGGTTAAGCTGTCCACACTGATGACAACTTTCATTCTCGTAAATCGTTTTATATGTCCAAGTGTAGCAAAGGACAGGCGTTATTATATTTTTCCTTCTGTGGTATCTATAAAATCCATGGTTACCCATTATTTTCCCATTGTGACCAGTTTTAAAGTACTAAATCTAGTGTTTGACTCACAGACACATTTCGGTTGGCTTAAAAGAAAATCTAGGCCAGTTATTACAATATTGTTTTTATGCTAAATACACAAAAAACCTTCTTCCCTTTACTGAAACAAGCAGGTAATTTAACTGAAATAACAAATCCATAGACCAAATAGACATAAAACACACAAAATCTGGAAGTTTAAGTTTTAAAATACATTATATTCAAACTGGACTCATGGGAGCTACAGTAAAAATCCATGGAACAGAAGTCCGTTATTAAATTTGTAAAGCTTGTAATCATGCAACTTCCAAATGGATAGAAGATTCAGACTTGACTGCTTTTTCATTAAATTGTTCAATACCTTGAAATGATGTGGGTGCTGTTACACTGGCTGTAGTTGCTTTATCTTCAGGTGCCAAAAGGCCTCTGCCACCTTTAAACAGAATGACCATAACGATTCTTAATTCTTCTAAGGGTTGGACGGGATAAAAGTGACTCGTCAAGCTGAGAAGCCACTACTGAGATGCATGCACATAATCCATTCATAATGCCAAATGCTGTACCTAACAGGGTTTCCAACTTAATTACATGCAGATCGGCTTGTTTTGAGGGATTTTTCTGTACCTTTTGTTGAAGGTGGGACAGTTGTTTGACTGGTTGTCATAGTTTTATCTCTGTGAGCTGTGCGTGTGGTAGATGGACCGGTAGAAGTGGACGCTTCTGTGACATGGAAAATAATTATTGTTGTCATAATATAAAAAGAAGTCTTCTTAATATACTGGATTCCTTGTACTGACAGAGGTAAAGTAAAAATGACTGAATATGTATCAGTTATCTTATTCTACAGTATAAACATATTGATTTGAACATTTTGTAAAATATTTCTATACCTTGTGTGTAGATGGGTGTAGTTGGTGTTGCCATTTCTGTTGTAATTCTATCTGCTGTTGTCACACCTACGAATAAAAACACTACTGAATTGATGGGTCCAAATAAATACTGTTCATCAGTTGTTTATGAGACTGCAGCACACATATAGATTTGATTTGACATGCAAATGACAGTTTGCATCAGTAACATGCTTCTTGTACTTTATGTCAACAGAGAAAATCAATATGCTTTCAGATGTTTAGCCATCCTCTTGGAGAAAACTGTACTCTGTGTGTTAGGTGAAGGACAATCTTTAAAGAAAGGTTGCTTGTTACACCGTTAAGTTGTTAGTGAGAGTATGAGTGTGGCAGTTTGCAATCAAACAACTAGAGTGAGCACAGACATGAACGGTCAATAGAAAAATGTTGTTAAGCTTGAATACGGCTCCATAAAAAAGCCAAGAGTGTGTGGAGAGCAGTTTAAGTGATGATGTGTAAACTTGCCAGCAGGGTGTTCAGTGCTAAGTGTCCCCGGTGACACCATAGCAACAGGTACAGTATGTGTACTTCAGTTGCATGCTTAAAAGTGCAAAATCGCTACTAATCTTGGAGGACTGGAAAGTTATTGCAAGACCACTCCTGTGGTTTTGGATTTTTTAGCCCATAACTACAAATCATGCAGACATTACATGACAACATTTCAAAGCATAACAGAGGTTTTCTGATTACATTCCAGGCAGCTATTGTTGTAAACCTATTTCACCACAGTGTTGAAATCAACTTGCAGAGCTTTGAAATACAATGTTTTTAATTGCAGAAATGATTAAATTGCCAGAATCTTTTTCATTATGTCCATATTAGTGTGTTGTTCTTGTTCTTGGCTTAATTTCCAGACAGCGTACTTTAGCTGGTGAATGCAATGCTTCCCACCATATGACTCTCACATATTTGATGTCTGAAAGTCTATGAACACGCCAACCTGGACAGCTGGGAACAGTTTGCTCACAACTTCCTTATCACACAGGGTTAACATAAAATGAAGGTAACAAATTTTCACTGTGACTGTCACGTCTTAAGTCAGTGCAAGTGGATTTTCATATTGTAGTGAAATGAATGAAAAACAGGGGCTGTATAAAAAATGGATGTGTGGTTTGAAAATCATCTGCAGTAAGTCCTCCTCAGCCTGTCTCTCATCAGTGTAAACAGTGAGCTGTTGAGTAACAAGTCTTGAATTTCCCTCGGATAGGATCGATCTTCTATCTACATCTATCTATCTATCTATTAATCTATCTATCTATCTAATCTATCTATCTATCTATCTAAGTCAAACACATGGATGGAGCATGCTTACCCTTGCATTCAGGAGGCTGTGAATCGTATTCACCAGTTTCACTGCATGTAATGTCATCATTCCCAACCAGGGTGTATCCCTCATCACAATCATAATGTATGATTTCTCCATATTTTGGTTCATCTGAAGAATCCCAGTTGTTTTTGCCATTGGTCACTCCAACGGGTGCACTACATGTTACAACTGAGGAATCAGACAAACAGGTGTTTTCACAAATTCTTAGCACAAAAAGATTTAGGATTAAAAACAAATAATTCATATCCCTTGCTGGCTGAGTAAATAAACTAGAAACACAAGAACAACTTCACAAAGAAAACAAAAACCACTGCATACGCCTTGTGCTTAAACAACTCATGCAAGAGGAGAGAAAAAGTCGTCTTTTGAAAATAGCTTTTGTAGAAGGAATGTACCAAACAATTGTTTTATTGCTTCTGGTTGTGGCTTCAAAACATACAAAATAAGAAACATTTACTTTCACACTTAGCTCTTCCAGTCCACCCTGCTGAATAGCACTGTTTGTAGCTTGATCCAATGACATAGTAACTGTTGAAAGAAGGAAAACAAAGCAGGACTGTTTATTCAAGGAGGAATTGATAGTGTAGAGCCATGATTTTTTAATACAATGGGAAGGTCATTTTCAACATTGAAACTAAATTCTTACAGTCTAGTCGAGAAGTATGTATCAACAACTCCCTTGATGTTGGCAAGAGTAAAGTTTATAATCAGTGAAACCATGACGTAACACTTTCTAGCCACGGCTCTATTTGTCTTTCAGGACTATTTTGTTTTCTTTAGAGACCTTTTCCATTTGCTAATTCACCTTAACTGCAGGCAGCACTGTCTGGTAGACATCTGTTGACAGTGGCAAAAAATGTTTCAGCAATGACTACTACATGACTATCGACTGAGGGCTCCATGCCAACACTTGCTTATTTAAACTTATCAATAGCAAATCTTTTACCTTAAAACAACAGCTTCAGTATCATTTTCATGGTACACTTGACTTGTTATAGGAAGAATGGTGCCGCTTTGATTCTCACATGTTACTTTGGTTGAACAGGCATGATTTCTCCCAAGAACTGCATAACACTTCAATTTTCTGCGATTTATGGAGTTTCCTGATGGACAAATAGCTTTTCTTGGTGCTAAACTAATGTTAACAGCTAACTGTTGCTAACTATAGTTGCTGTCAGCTGTTAGCCATGCTGCCTTGATGGGAACTTGGAGCGCCGGAGGAGTGTGTTAATACTGCTAGCACAGAAGCTTTGAACCACCGAGTTTTCAGGCCCGGGGGCAGGGGGCCAAGTGGGAAACGCGGGTGGGTAGCGGTGCTTGTGATGGGCCAGAATTGGAGCCAGGTGAGTGGGCAATGGTGCTGTATTATAGCAGCTGAATCTCTGATTGGCTGTCCCAATCCAGCTCCACCAACAGACACAAAAACTCTTTCGTCCCCCTGGCCATCAGACTGTACAACAGCTCTCAGTAAAGGCAGGGAGGACAATTAGACAATAGACAAGGACAATGTCTACCTGTAATTTGCACATTCCATTTGCACTGTTTACTGTTGCAATGTTACGTAGCTTAACTTGTAATTTTATATATTATGATACATAGATAATATTTATATCTTAATCTTATATCTTATTTTTGATTCTGTCTTAAGGTCAGGGTTTTTTTTAATTCTATTTAATGTATGTTTTGTATTTGTATGCTAATGGATTGCTTGAATTCCCTCGGGATAAATAAAGTTATCTATCTATCTACTATTATTCTATCTATCTATCTATCTACTATCTATCTATCTATCTATCTTAGTCGTTAGGTGAGTCGCTTTTGGACAATTTATTAGCTGGCCATGCTCTGTCAGATGTGATCTGTTGTATGTATGATTACAAGTAAGCAATCTTCCAACAAATGCACATGTACAGCTGTCCATTTCTTACAACGAAGTGGGTGTATAAGTGAATTGCACTCTCAAACTGTAGCGGTGCAAAATAGCAAAAAATCCCAATTCTTGCATAATGTTGCTTTAAGACATAGCTATTTATTTTCATACGTAATTCAACCAGCTATAATTAGATGGCAAGATTTCATGACTTTTTACTCACCCTTTATCACAAACTACTTTTATCACAGCACCAAACAGGGTACCGTCGCTGATGTTAAAGCTCATATTCGGCTTAGCTTTAGGAGGACCACAGTCCCTCTCTGTAACAAAAGAAAAACAAGAGAATTTTGCTTTTATGCCACGACCTTAACCCCAAATTGACAAAATAATAATGTTTTATAAAAGTGTCAGTAGAGTTATAATGAAAGTAGCCAGGACTCACTTATGCAGACGATATCTGGTTCAGTCCATGTCCCACTAACGCAGGTTATAATCCCAGTGCCACTTTCTTGAACATAACCATTAACACACTCGAAAGTGACACTTGAGGCATCAGGAAAGTCATTCCTTAGAAGTGCTTCATTGGTTAAGACAATATTTCCTGTTCCCTGAGGTTTAGGACAGTCAGCTGGGGGAAGAAGACACAAAGAGGCAACAACATCAACAGCAACATCTTTTTGTTCATAAGTCAGGCATGATGATGTAGCTCCACTCAATTAAATAGTAAACCTGAAAGCCTGTAACGTGATGAAATAAGTGAACAAATAAAGATATATCAGAATAATATCAGACTGTAGTAAATAGTATAATAGTATACTCATTTATAGAGATGAGACAATGCATGTGAGAAAATACCTCGCCTGATTTCCCTCTTGACAATTTGTAAATGTGTAACTTGAACATACAAGATTTTGTCTTTGGAGGAAAACACTTCCCATTATTACCCATTATTTATTAACTTTAAAGTTTTTTCTTATTGATTAATAAATAACTTTTCTTCAACCTGGTAGTAATGTCACTTCATTAGTTACGCCTGTACAATATGTTTCTTACTGAGGATATAGTAAAAGGTGGTGTTGTACTGGACTACTTTATAGTGAAATTTATGTTCTTCCCATTTGTATGAGTGAGCGGGGCAGATTATTAAAAGCACTCAATATATGCCACAAAACACTACAACACAACAGTACACACCTCTATGACTGTCAACAAAACTGTACATTACAGGGATCGTAAAAGTGGACTTTATGGCAGAAAAGTTGGATTGCATTAGACTGTAGGTGTACCTAATAAAGTGGACACTGAGTTATATTCACATCTTATTATTATTATTATTATTATTATTATTATTATATCTTACTGTTAATTTACTCACAGATCTTATAGAATATTATAAATTTTTTTGTTAAATTGGTACACAGCAATCCTATTGTAGACTCCTTCAAATCACAAGTAAATGTGTGACTTAGTGAGGCATAATTTAATAAAGCTGACATTAGATAAGTGACTGTGGAGCTATTCGCGCTTGAACTCTCATGTGACTCGCTCCGTTGATAAATATTATCTCATTAACCAGACTGCGAGGCTGACGTTTTCACTGACCTGCTGCCTTCACGACAAAGAGGTAAATTAACAGCAGATGTTTGACCCTTCGTCGTTCACAGGTGTCCAGTAAAACTTCCATCCTGGGCTGCAGAAGGAGAGTAAAAAGATCCGGATCCAGATAGGGAGTCTGTTTCGGTCTAACTTCTCCGGTGAGGGAATGCAGAGACGCGACTCGCTCCACTGCCGGTCAAGAGTGATCCTATCAACCCCTGAACGCATCACTTCTATCTATGTTGTCTGCGGTCAAGTTAGCCAGAATGACAGGAAGCGACAGAAGAAGTGCCTTCACAGTAAAAGCAGAAGAAGCACTGGCTGGGTTATTTAATTCACACAGCCTCTAAAAGGCACAAGTTAGCTACAGATGAAATATAGTTTGCGTCTATAACATAATGTACAACACATTTGATTGATTAATCAGAAGTGTACATACTTATGGCCTATATTACATACCTATTTAAATACATTCCTGTTGATTACAATGGCTACCTGCGCATTTATAGATTCATATTCTAGTTTTGAACGTTTTCATCAATCAATCAATCAATCAATCAAGTTCAATCATATCAATCTATCTATCTATCTTATCTATCTATCTATCTATCTATCTATCTATCTATCTATCTATCACAAACAAGTGTCTTATTTTGAAAGGCAAGCCAGGAAGTTTCCCTTTCAAACCTAATATTTATCAGCGCCCTGCACAACGACAGACGCAAACAGGCACAGACTAAAGTTTCAGGGTAAACAAAGACCAGAAAATAAAACCGATAACATTTGAACAACTTAAGTAACAGATGTGGGTTTTCTTTCCATGAGCAGTAAACCAACACAAACTCTCAGGCTATCCACCAGTTAGAGCAACTCCCTCTTCCCACCTCCTGCAAGAAGTGGAGAGGTCTCTCCCAAGTGTTCCAACTTGCAATGTGGAAATATTATGGGTGTGTCCTGGAAAAAAGGGGGTATTCCCTCACAAACCCTCAAAAGAGGGATATCCTTTATTATTCTGTTCTATTCTGTTATGATACAGACCCACACACTTGTAGAGTGAAACATGATAAATACATTTCAATATATGCCTTTATGAATAATAATAGTAATCAAAATAAATAAGTTAGGGATTGTAATAAAAGGATTAAGATGTTTTTTTGTAGTAAATGACCACGTATGAGTCACTTTCTGGGGTTTGGGTTATTGTCATGGATACATTCCACAGTTGTCTTCAACAAGAGGGCTGTGCCTATTGCCTCACACGCAGTCTGGGGTAAATTCCAAGTAATTCAGTCCAACACCCATTTCAACTGTCTCCCTCCTCCACCCAGAGTTGCCTGATAAACCCACATCGGCATTTACACAGAAACCTGGCAACAGAGCTCATAAAGTTTAGTACACCGTATCTGTACCCTGTAGTGTCTTTTGAACTAGTGAGTAAACACCAAGATAGAGGATATTTTTGGTGATACACATTACATCACTAAAAACTAAAAGACGTTTGTGATTTCACTGGTTTTGAGGGGTGGGGTGGAAAATGCCCCAGTACACTCAACCTGATGTAACGGCAATAAAACATGACCTGTGGTGCAGCTTATGTGCTTTTAAGGGGTTTTTTTAAAAAAAAAAAGAAAACTTGCTTCAGCTGGTAACCAATGCTAGTTCGTGTTAGGGGTTAACCCTAACCCTAACCCTGCGTTTCTTATCTCTCCAAACACCTTGTCCCTTCTCACCAACCAACCTTAAAGAATGCATCTGCTTCTCTTAGTCTGATAATGGAGAAAACAAGTTGCCATCCAAACAGTAATATCTGTCCACTCTAGTTCACCTGCTTTTCTCATGCTGAGACACATAAGGATGCGATTTAAAGAGTAACAGGATACATTTTTTACTCGACACATAAGCTACTCTGTATCTTCACACACACACACACACACACCACACCACCATACCACATACACATACACATACACATACACATACACATACACACAACACATCACACACACACACACACATTATTTCCATATATATTTCTATGACAGATGTTACCATAGAAACGTTTTCCCCTTGTTATGCATATTTCACAAAACAACAGGGCCAAAAGCCTTTATATGAGTCATGCTCAGTTCTTGCTGTCAGAAATTAAGCTTTTTTTCAAAAGGTGCATATTTTGTTCCTGGTATGCAGTCTTATGATAATAACCTCCTTAGAAAACAACTTCTAACATAAACCCTAACCCAGACATCAATTAACCATAATCCTAGAAAAATGTGTGCCCTTCCCCATTCATGTACGCCAAACACTGAATTGTAAGTCAGTGACATCTAGTGGTGTAAAGGATAAACTGCATTTAAATCATTTAAAAGCTCTGGCTAATATGGCACAATCATGATGAAACAATACAAAAACCATGTGGTGTTGTTTTCCTCCAGTGCAACATGACTTAGTCCAGCAGTTAATTTACTAAGACGTCAGAAAAAAATCTTCCAGAGTGTATCACATGAGTTCTCCTCAGAAACACACACACAATTATTGTGACTTTTTTGTGTAACTTGCATTTGACAAACTGACATTACTGATATGTACTGCACCAGTTTGAAACATAATAAATATATGCTTTGTATGTGTGTTGGGTAGTGAACACCAAGTGAGGAGGTGCTGATTATGGTACAAATCTGAATAAGAGAAAAGAAAATATTTATTTATGCCTATTAAAATCTCTTACTTTCCATAAATCTTAGCTCCAAAGTAGATATCAGCAACTGCTTCTTAGTTTACGGACCACAGACCAGAACAAAGAAAATTATCATTTATTTCTAATTTAATTTGACCCACATCACATCTGACCTTTTGTTTCACATTAATATGCCTGTATGTGATTGAAAAGGCAAAAAAAAATAAAATACAACATTTGGGTTAGAGACGCTTAAAATTAATATTTTTATAGATATTTTATGTATTTATTCATATAAAAGACTGTAGTATTTCCTGAAAAACAATAGTACAAGTTAAAAAGGAAGATCAAAGACAATAGCGCTTTGTTTACCTCTGCCTTGAAATTGTCAGTACAATCCAGTTCCATGCGTCATTCATGCCTGTACCTAAAATAAAACATAGGCCTTCGTCATATTCCAGCAAATATTTAAGCAATTTAGTCAATTATCACACCACGTGCAATTACCAGTCATTCTTTAGCCATTAAAGCAGCTCCTCTAAGACCATATCACGTTCTGAATGACTGAGCAGGTTTCATTCAAACCAGGGTCAAAGTCACTAAAGTAATGGAAGTGCAGAGAGTCTTAGCAACCATTCACAGATAGAATTGTACTTAAACATCAATAAATCATTCAAGCAACTGTTTCGATGTCCTTGACTCCCTGCTGGAGCTGGTCAGTGATCAGCTGTAGATGCCTGGTGGCACTGTACCTCTCAGGTGTGAATCTAACTACAGTAATTTGATAGAAAGCCCTGCAGAGGATTATCATACAAACATAAAAGCTTCCTCGAGAAAAGGTTAAAAAAAAATGTAATCTTGGGTCTCGTTCCAGACAGTAGTTCTACATATTTTCATAATTTCAAAGTTCAGGGTCAGTCAGGGACCTTGATTTGTAGATGTTCGCTGCAGATAATCAAATTTCAATTTACAAATTCTTAATATATCGTGCACAAGAGTAACTGCTGAAAGCAAATATGTATGGAAGAGCCTTTGACGAATAGCTTATAATTAATGTTTTACAGTTACACCCATTTGAGTTATTTCGATTCAGCATGTGGAATTTATTCACATGTCTCAAATTTTTTAAAACTGTACAGTTTATATAATCCTTATCCTTATCTCATGCAACTGGAATTTTATTGAGGAACCGGTCTGATGGTTTCCACGGGGCTCTGAAAAGTATGTTTGTGTTCGCATTCCAAATATGGCCACATGTTTCAAGCCTGCTTTTGAAATATGGATATTTAATGGACATGTCGTATGCGTGGCATAAGATGCCTCTGAGCTTTGTCCTGTAATTGAAAAAGCATCTGCTTTGAGCAGTCAAGCTCTCTCCAGGCTCTGCCAAGAAAAGTAGTTGGCTACCATGACAACTGGAAATCTGCCATAGTAACAGTGGTTTATGCTGCTTTGTCATATGAAAGGACAGTATTTCTGGACTGTAGTGTGAAACAAATGAATCTAAATACGTCACCTAAATGATTTTTCTGTGAACAGTGACTGTATTGACGGTGCATTGACAGTTCAAAAATAGAACAGCATGGTTTTAATTTAAATATTATAGTTAATGTGCATTTTATTTTCAGTACAAGAGGTCCAGAAGGTGTTTTCATAAAACTTTATTTTTCAGTGCATGAACGGAACACCATGTCAAGGTCATAGTCTATCCTTTTCAATCCATTTTTAAATATTTTCTCTTTTTTTACATAAAAAAATAATGGAGCGATTTAATATACCTCTGTTTTTTCCCCCAGAAAGAGCACTCAGCAAATATTTATAAAGGTGCTGTACAATGTACAAACATTTACATCTAATGTTCCTACAGAATGTAGAAGATACCACAAGGATTATTTTTCTAATGAAGCGATGCAAGGCCACAGTATAATACAGAAATGAGATACAAAATGGTCAAAATAATAGCATTAAGGAGCAAAACAGTGTGGATGACATACAATAAAAGAGTATTGTTTGATTCACCAGAGTGAACTTCCTGTACCTGTCCCTCAGGGTTGGATTTACTCATTCAACCAACCAAACTATTGCACAAAAACCTACCACTGATTGGCTCATAGCGCATCCTTTAGAAATCTTTAACCTGAAATCAACCTTATACAATCACAAGCTCTTATCACAGTCAATCACAGACCTTAACCACCATTCGACACTTCGTCACTGATATTGACTCTATTACACGTTTGCTACTATACTGCGTTCCCTGAGCTCATCTGAATATGTCTTAATCTCTTAAATTCTATTAGCACGTATATTTCATCTTCTCTGATTTTACAGCAGAAGCTTCAAAAATATAGTGAAGTAATAGCGAAATTAGAGTATTTCTTATTTTCACCGACGTCACATTTGGAACCAATTGTGTATCTCATAGCCAAACCCTGAAATAAGGTTAGATCTCTGTATACCTGTCTTACATCAGCAGCATGCTAAATATCTCACTAAATCACCACATCACTCTCTAAGCTCCATTATCCTTCAAGCTACCCTGGCACATAATCACACAGCA